TGGCTATCCACTGGATCTTAGTCCATCCAATATCGCCAATTCTTGCAACATGGCCTCCCTAACTCCACTTTACAATATTATCTTGAACCGTTTTTTCTTCGCATTTCTGTATTTTTAATGTGATATCTTAGGTCCAACATTAAACGTTCCATTGCAATCTGTGTGATTCCTGTCTCATTGATTGTCTTTTTTTGTTAAGGTTATTGTTTTTGCACCTCATGCAGGACACATTGATTCAAAAGTGTCATTTTAAAGCACCGGAAGCTCTGATTTGAGTGTGTCTCGCAGGCTACTAAAGGCGGCCTATGTTAGTTATATTTTTCAAGAAACTTGCATATTTGATTGTCTCACTAATACTTATTTCATGCTCTATATATTTATATGAAACAGTCTCCTCTATAATGAGATTAGCTATGAACATATTTGTTAGCAATTCGCCACTGATACGTGTGCTCACGTCATTTCAATTTATCTGTTAAAATTGTATTAGATTATTTTGGAAAATATCTTAGGGGAGATAGTGTCCGAAGTGGAAATCGAAATGGCAAAATAAACTTATTTTAAAGTGAAATTGTGGCTTATTCCCGGTAAAAATAGTCAATTGTACTTATCTATAGGATTCTACAGGGGACTGTTTTTTGTAGACTGTTTCTGCTTAGGTAAATTATTCTCATTTCGCACACAAGGAAGCATCATTAGTTTCACCAATGAGATTGTAATAACATACACACCCACGAATTGGGAAACTTAAAGTATTTATAAAATGGTTCTAAACTAACGCTAAACACAGAGAAAATCTACCAACCTAAAAGAAAACCTACCATTTACTTCTTATTGCAGTAGCTTATCAAATTTCGGACAACTTAATATAGATTTACAATACACAAGATACACACATTTAAGTACACGAAAATTCCAGAATCCTCAATTCGATATTTACTGCAATCGAATACTTTATATATAATTTTTTGATACAATCATACCTTACTTAAATAATTCTTGGATGGATTGGCCTTGCTGTCAGTTAAAAAATTTTAACACAAATCAAAAATGATTATAATAAAACTTACGTATAAAAAAAGAATATATTTTATTGAATATTTATGAAACGAAAGTAAATTATTTGATTTAAGATAATTTTATTGTTAAAATATCCTAGTAGTAGGTACGTCTTTGAATGCAGAATACATATGGATTATACTATTACCTGCGATTCTCCTGAAAATAAGGAGTATCGCTCTAGAGAGCATTTAGGATAATACTAGCGTATGATCAAGACCCGGCGACCTGACTGGGCATATGGAGATTTGAATGGTTGAACAACAGAATTCAACAAAATTCTCACAGAAATTATGAGTACAAAACAAATTTCGAACTCGTTTCAAACGAAGTGTTGGAATTATAGTATTACTTATATTTCCGAAAAAGATTAAATAATTTAATTATGGTGATAATTTGTGCTGGATGTGACACTTACATCCGAAAAAGTATTACTGCGAGAATCCCTAAATAACCTAGATATCTCTTGAAATGTTAATGTATTGTATTAATGATCTGTATTTTCTAGTTTTTTAATGCGTCATTATATTTGTGTAATTGGATTATGTTCGCCTTCTATTTTGAACATTTCTATAAGGAACAGTTTTTCCACCAATTGTGTCATTTCGCTTCTATGCTGCCTTATGAAACGCCAAACTTATTTCTGTCGTCAGAAAAAATTCATCGATAATCTTTTTGTGAATTTTCGTATATCGTGTTTTGCTCAATTTGCAACGGTATAATCTATCATTAGTGTTTGACGTCTTTCTATTCTTCCAAAAATCAATTGTATTACATACAAAAATACATTTTATACATTTTGAACTAAAAGCTGGGAAATCCGATATTAAAAAAAACTGTAGATGTTGTTTCAAATATCTCCACAAATACCGAAAAATGTTGGAAACATTCCAAATCTAAATTGATTCACCGCATTTGTTGAAGTTTTAACTGAAACTGATATAATTTACTGTATTTTTACCCAGCATAGCAACTTGTTTCATAATGTTATTATAAATCGCTAACCATATAATGTTATGCTATGTGAATTCAACAGCTAAATAATTTTTGGAGTATATTGAACCCATTATATTATGAAGATGAAAGAATCCGGATATTCTATACTAATATACTTTAATATAGAGTTAAGTAACGGTACGCGATATTTGTGTAGTTAATCATTGCAAACTGAATTAAATTTTATGGTTATTCACCTTTTATAAAACCGTATAGATTGTTCTTCTTCCTAACGTATTTTTTTACAAAGAAAATACAGAATAACAGTTCCTTTCAAATGACAAGTGTTTTTGTATAAGCACGCTATAGACATTATTAATATCTGTACCATTTTTTCACAACTAAAAAGAGCAGCAAAGGAGATTGGACTAGAAATAAACACAAAAAGATCAAAACAATACCACGAGGAAGAACAAAGAGAAGTAATAATAATAATATAATAATAGCAGGCTGTCTGAATGATATAATTTAGATATGAAAACTAAAATATACCAGACAACCATATGCTCCAATATCACGTTCACTGCAGAAACAAGGCCTGACACAAGTAGAACAAAACTTCCACAAAAAAAGTGGAAGTTGGAAGGTAATGCAAGATAGATATGGGTACGGGGATAAAAAAAAAACAAAAATATAAAACTTCTTAAAAACACATGAAAATGTGGCCACCTTTGAGAATTAATTTACTTAAATAACAAATACGACCTAAATCCAATAATAGAATTGTGAAATGGATGTGTAAGAGCTACATTTGGAAGTGTAGCTATATTTTTAGGCCTACGGATTAATAATTATAAAATATTGGATGTTATAAATATTAGAACATTAGAAATGTGTGGTGTAAAAATTGATAATAATGGCAGATTAATTAGAATTTCGCTATATAAAGCTGAAAACAATGTAAGCACTAAGGAATGGGAACGGCTTTTTAGTTGGTGTTGCTCACTTCAATGTCCATCATGCGGTGTGAGCTTCTCCAAAGAATGACATTGATGGCATTATGATAATTGAGGCTCTAGCTGATATGGATTTAATATTTCTAAATGATGGTTTAACAACCATAATTACTTTTCCAAACTCCACAAAATCAGCTGTAGACTTAACGTTACTAACTCCTGGATTAACTGCAGTAGCTCATTGGCAAACATTGGATAGATATCTTACATCTAATCACTATATTATTTACAATAAATTCAATATTGGTGTACTTTCTACCATTGTCTACCCAACAAGGAACTGGAGATTAGAGGAGGCCAACTGGGAATTATTTCACAGCACTCTTGAAATGGAACTAAAGAATGTAGTTTATCCTGTCTATTGTATAACTGTCATGAAATGTCATTTACTCTAAATAGTCGAACTCAATACAAGCGCCGAAGCTTCTATACCCGAAAACGTACCCTTTATTCCTAAACATAGACAAAAATAAATGGGCACCACAGTTAGTTGCAGCTTAAAAAGAATGCCTTTAAATTATACAAAACCTCATCCCCTCTGAATAACTTTCCTGAATATAAACATGCAAAAAAGAATGGCGAACAAACTGAACAGCAAAAACACAAACAATAAACACGCTCCCCTTCTGTTGCACAAGATATTCTACAGAAGCTATGTCCACCTTTTGTTGACAAATATATAACTCACCCAGGTACACCCAGGAGCATTATTTACTAAAAGAAATAACATCATCCGAACTGGAATATGTTATTAAGATATCCAAAAATACAGCCCCAGGTTCAGATCAGAATTTTGTATATTATGTTACAAAAATGGGTATGTTTTTCGAAAGGCGTTCTACAGGGAGCTGTTTTAAGTCCACTTCTTTTTAATTTTTACACATACGATTTGCGCAATTTATGGTGTCCCATTATTTTTGGCTTACAATATGCGGATGATATTGTCATCTATTCGAATGTACTATTTCTGCCAAAAGTATGCCGTCTCTTGAAAACACCCTATTGAAGGTTACACTTTATTCTTATAGGGCAATGTCGTTCCAATTGTTTTGGAATTAAAATACCTTGGTGTCATACTTGACAGAAAACTTCTTTGGACTCAACATATTAAACTACACAATTAATCGCTGCAAAAAGGTATTAATTTGCATAAAATGTTTTTTAAGAGATGTTGCATTGAATTGTTATCAATCCTATATTAAATCTATTATAGATTGCTGCTGTTTGGTATATGGATTAGCTAGCATAACTAATTTAAACTTCTCCCAGTTCTCCCTTAAACTTAATCTCATATATGAAAATGATCTGATATATTAGTAAATATCTATTTTTATTGTATTATCTAGGCTATTTCTTTATTTTCCTTATAGATCTCGAAATTATCTTTTCTAAAGATCTTTCATATAACTCGGCATTTCTCATAGTCTATTGCTATGTAAAAAGAAGTCATGACAGAAGATCGCCTTGTATTTGCTCTTTACAGACCACTTTACTTAGTATTGTTCTGAAGCTATTTTCTTGTGGTATTTTAAAGTAATTACTATTTAAATGGGAATAAGCCACAATTAAAGGTTAAAGTACGTTTATTGACGTTTCAATTTCCACTTCGGAAATCGTTCCCAAAATACAAACAGTAAATTTACTAAAAATAAAATAAAATTTCGCTATTTTATCAATTTAAATTGCTGGCTATTTTTGACATGTGGCATTAAAATTAATAAAACCCTTCCATAAATTTAATACTATTTGAACTTATTTATTGAAGCGGTAGCCTGGACATGGAAATTAAACTTGATTAATGTTTTTATTTATATATGGTACAAAAGCGTTTTATAAGATTATTTCTAACCTAACTCACAATAAAGTCAAACGCAGTTTAGATTAGATGCATAACTACACCATACAATTCTATTGTAGCCAACAATAATCTGAACATCTTTTCTATAAGAATATAGACTTTTTATTAACAAAACCCATCGATTGTTACAGACACATCGGAAAAGGTTGCGACAGGGACACTTACTCGGTTCAGTCACAAAGGAAATTATGTGGCGCTTCTCCCTCTGCCATCGATCTTCTGCCAAATCCCGGAGTAGGTGCTGAATGGACAAAACCACTCATTTCGGACGAGGGTCATGAGAGCGATCAGATGTTTGAGTTTGACGGTAAGAAGTTTGTGTTTCACTATGAATGATTAAGTATCTTCTAAAGAACATCTTATATGACAAAATAATTCAAGTATTTGCTATATTCATTTTTTTTTTGAAAGAAATGGACGAGTAAAAAAAAATTTGCAAAAAAAAAACGTTACCTTTATATTTTGTATAGGCATTTGTTTTTGTAGTCGCAAACTTAAAAAAATCGTTGAAATAAATTTTAAACCCAAAGTTTCAATAAATGTTCGTGGTTTTGAACCTGTTTAAACTAGTAAACCGAAATCCTCATAATATTCGTGCAGAAAACCGTATATCTCAAATTGCTAATAATATTTGACAAGGAAATGAAATTACAATACTTAATCTCAATTATTAACTTAACTACCCCTAAAAAAACTAAATCGCCTTATGTGATATCGCCTCCGAAGTTTTGAGGCATTTTTTTTTTTGTTAGTTGTTAGTTGTTAGTTAGTTTTTTTCTAATTGTCCGTCTCTTCTTTGTCTTGTTTAAGATCTTCTTTTAACACCGATTTATTGCTGTAATAATTCTTGGAGGTAGATTGCCAACTATTTTTCATCTTACATCTTCCATCGCGTTATTTCTGACTAACACCATTTGCGAACAGTTAGAGCTAGTTCTACGCCTTATTATAAATTGAAAACAAATAGAATGGGGCTGTCTCCTTGTTGGATTTCTCTTTATGTGTTCCTTCTTTTTAGACAATAAAGAAGAACAAAAGTGAAGGACATCGTGGATGAGGTGGTAAAACTGTTGTCATATGGACGGATATGGATAATAAATTATTGTGTAAGAGTTAAATTAGGTTTAGAGTTGCCTTTAACTTGAGTTAAGTCAAGAGTTATTTGATTGTTAATTAATAGTAACCCGTCTACTGAGCAAGTAAGATACTATTTAATTTTCCGTGTAATTGTATGTTGGAGAAATGTAAAAGTCAGTTTGTTTGTATTTTACCACCTAGAAAATCTATAAATGCGTTTATCTGTTTTATTTTTATTTGTATTTCAAAACCGTTTGTTGAAACACATTGTTTTTATTTTGAACTGGTTTATTTATTTCTTCTTCTTTTATTTGCAAAAAGTTAAGCCCTTTTGCCATATTTATCTGTGGTAAATTGTTTTGTTGAACCAAATACCAATTTAAAAATCTAGTTTCGAACCCTATTTTTAAAGTACATATCTCTGTATGCGAACAATTTATATATCTAAACATTTTTATTTCATTATTTTTTTTTAATAATATTTTATTGTTTTATTACGATTTATTACTCTTTTTACCTAAAATATTTGTTTTGCTTTGAATAACTGTTAGACACACTAAACTTACGTTGTCGACCGCTGCTCTAAACGATTACAGGAGATAAATCTTTGTTATAGAAAAGATTCACAATTTGGCGTTTAGGAAACAGACCAACAAGGCGATAAATACTATTACAAATTTCTTATTTTGGAAGTCATTGTGACACAAAAACTTGTTACAAGTGTCAGCATAAATTCGAATTTAATTGAAAGTTTATTTATCGTGATAACTAGATGTTACGACATTGTTAATTTTATATTCAATCCTACATACTAATTTACAGTTTTATTTTTTACGTTATATAAATTTTTCTTCTTCCTAGGTGCCACTACTGCAGTAACGATCCCAACATCTGTACTAGAGCATCAGTTACCAACTACATTTACCATATCCACGTGGATGAGGCACGGACAACATCCTAGCCAGGACAAACACTTAAAAGAGCACATTTTCTGCACTGCTGATGATCACAGTAAGTTTTCGATAAACCTTAGAGCTAGTACAATGTAGTAAACAGGCAATAGAACAGCAATTAGCGAGTAATAGAAAACAGTATCTTTAGTTACTTTAACCCTTCTACAACGATGTGGGGTCCTTTTAGAACTTTAGATGTTTTTTATGGACCCAGGACCATATTTTTCAACCTCCAGTTAAATAATAGCCAATTTTATCCCTGAAATCTTGTATAGCTGTGTTTTTAAGGTTTCTACACAACTTCTAATACCTTCCACCAAGTTTCAATAATTATAATCCATGAAAACTGCATTTTGGTCAGTGTTACGTTACATACATATTTGAATATGTATTTTTATTTTTGGGGCTAATTAAGGTCTGTAAGTACTGTTATAAACTTACCGAACGATCTAGTGCATACGAGACTAGTTTTTGAGTAACCTTGATATATTTCTTCGATGATTCTATAATTAGCTGGCATTGCCGGCAACAGAGCAGCTCGGCGCGGCACTCAGTTTGAAGTAATCAGAGTTAGTCGATGGTTGTTTATTTATGTTTTTGTTGTTTTGTATTCGTTATTTAGGAGAATAAGTGTACTAACAGTATTACAAAAACATTTTATATGTTAACAGTACAAAAATGGTCAAACGTTACCGAAAGCTATTAACTCAAGCTGAGATTGAGGAAATAATAAACAATTTGAGTAACTTTGACAAATGATCAGAGCGATAAGAAAAATCAAACTCATGATAACGATCGAGATCCCCTCATCGAGATCTTGTACTAGAGGAGGACAGTACATCAGAAATGGAAGACCATATTTACTTAGGTGTTGAGGACAACGAAGACGAGCCGGCTACAGATACCATAGTAAATACAGGTTGGAGAAGAGAGGGAAGAACTTATAGAGAAGTAAGTTAGAAGACGCAATAAAATACATACTACAAAATCTGGACGTGTATGGAGCTGTGATGCTCCTCTTCCATCTCGACGTTCTTCGTCGTTACTGGACATAACATATAGCATATTGTTAATAGCAAACTAGGGCCAAAATCATATGCTAGCAATGCCAATGAAATATTTGAGATGTTTGACATTTTCTTGACTGATGACATGAAGACTAGTATCTGCGAACATACCAGCCACGAAGCAACTCGCATATACCGAATTTACAGTGAGAAAAGTCCGGAGAAATAGAACATATGGAAAGACATCGATATTATAGAACTCGATGCATTTATTGGAATTTTGATTAGAGCAGGAGCTCTACATTGTCGAAATGAGAACGTTGCAAAAATGTGGAGGACAGATGAATCAGTTTGTCTGCCTTATGACAGATTTACTCAGATGTGAAGGCGTGAAATAGATAAGTTTGCTCCATTTAGAGTAATTTACGAATTGTAAACAGGCGTTTGTTCTCCATGAACAAGTAATTGTGGATGAACAGCTGATAGATTTTAGAGGAAAGTGTCCATTCAAACAGTACAGGAGCCCAAAGCCTGCAATGTATGGGAAAATTTGAATACTAGCAGACGTGGGAATAATATACCTGTATAATTTGCAAATTTACACAGGCAAGTAACCAGGAGCGCAACCTAAAAAAAATCAAGGTTTCAGAGCAATAACATATTTAGCGTCTCCTAGAAGAAAAACAAACTGGTCCATGTCCTGTCTATGCAACATCAGGATAACTCTGTTTCTGATGAAAAAAAATAGAAAACCAGAAATCATATTATCATACAATTCCGGCAAAGGGGCAGTTCATAATGCCGATAAAATTATTCGGGAGTACACGTGTGCTCGACGCACTTCTTGCTGGCCTTATCGACTGTTTATGAACCTTTTTGAAATTACTGCCCTAAACAGTTTCGTCATACATGTAGCTATGAGTCCAGGTTTCTTATCAAGGAAACAATTTCTTTGAACACTAGGCAAGACACTATACCCAACATACAACAGAGACTGACAGATACAAAGAAAAATCTTAGCATTTACAGAGCAATAGTTGTATGCGGAATAAATACTTCAGAGCAAGAAAATCAAGCCTAGCCAATAAGTCAAAAGAAAGGAGGAAGCTGCAATTTTTGTCCTCCTACACTTGATAAAAAAAGAGAACTCTAAAAAATGTACTGACTGCAAAAGATTTATCTGCTCAAACCATAAAAGCAGTGTCAAACATATCAAGTTTTATCCGCATTGTACTGAAGACATTAAATAATTGTTCTATTTTAAACTTTTGAATTTCACTTTTTTTAAATTACCAAAGTTTCCAGGTATATCTACTAAATAAGATTTTTATTTATTTCTTCCTTAAAACATACATTTACTTCATTAAAATTACTCGTTTTTATAAAAAAAAAATGATGTGGTACCTAAAGGACCCTAGCCTACTTTACGTAAAATTGAACGTCCTTGTTGTAAGGGTTATATTATTATTGCTACATTTTACTTTTGGTGAATTTTTCTAACATTATAAATTTCGATAACATCAATATTCTAATCAAAAAGTTTACCGTGATAACTTTTGATTACGAACACGTATCTCCGTAAATAAGTGTCGATTGTCAGACATAAACTCGTTTTTGTGTTTACATACAAAGAAAAATTAGTAGGAATTTATGTCGTTGATAAGTATACAACACTGCTAGAAATGCCGAATCTGACATAAATGTACAGTCTGTTTACGCTGATTTTTATATTTTGCGTATATTTGACACTTCTATCCTGTATCATCTTTCTTCGTGGTGTTTATTTTATTTCGCTGATGAACACATCTAAACGTAAAATCAGGGCATGTTTAATTCTTCTAAACATAAAAAGAAACGTTCTGTGTGGAGTCGAGACTGGATTTTTGAGACGTGAAAAATACGGTGTTCTACAATCAGTTGACTAAGCACTATTTTATTATTGAGGATCCAGCACTATTTTCGATTTTTTTTAATAGGATGAAGCCTGCTGATTTTGAAAAACTTGCTTGTAAAATTGATCCTATTATATCAAAGCAAAATACCAAATTTAGAAAGGCAATTAATGTTAAAGAACAGCTTGCTGTAACTCCACTGTAGCACTAAATAATTATTCTGCCATTTTCTTATAAGCATTAAAGCATTACATTTTTTAATCTGTCCCAATAAATTGTCATTGTAACATCCCATAATTCATAACTCGTAAGTTTACTTACATTGATACAAATTAATTAATTATTCCACATTAGCTTTGAATCACTCTTTTTTATCTCCCATCTTGGATCCTGACACAAGCGTCAGTTTGCAATAAGTGTCTGACTAATGTTTCAATTTCGAACTAACAAGTGTTTACATCTATCATTATAGATATGTAGACACAAGTTAGTAATAGTTGAAATATATATCGCTGATATAATTTTTTCATTGTTTACATTAGTAAAGATTTATGTCTGACACAAATTCCATGCAATTCGTGTCAGATCTAAACATACCTTTAGAACTTATATAGATGTCAGTTTATGTCACAGGTCAACGGACCGACAATAAACGGGCATCCTTGTGTACATATAAGATTTTTATCGGATTGACATTGGTTTTGAGTTCCGTTTCTGTGGGATTTGTCCTTCAGGACATGCCTATTTGCATCTAAATATCTATTTTCAAGTCAGTGTTCTTCGTAGACGACTAACAATTTCTAGAAAACGGGTAACTATCGTGGTTTTGCGTGGCACCGCGTTTCTTACAACGCCTCCGTTGCGTCGAGGAGCAAAGATTGTGCATCTTTTTCTCAAAATTGGTCACCGGGTCGGTATCTGGTTACTATACACACATCTTCATTACGGGTTAAGCAACACTGGGATCTGTTAATAAAAAAGTCTGTTGATAAAAGCTGACTTCTATAACAGTTAATTACTGTTTAACTGGGAATAAGCCAGAATTAAAGGTTAAAGTACGTATATTGACGTTTTAATTTCCACTTCGGAATTTCTATTGTTGTATTGAACAGTATTGTTTATTACCAATACTCTTGTACTAAACTAACGAATATGTAAGGGAAAGTGTAATTGTGACACTAACTGATGCCAAAATGATAGGGCGTTATTAAGATGATTAAGGAATGTTTAATGACGCAATGTTCACTCTATGAAAAATATCTAAATATCCTGGAGTAGAAGAAGGACAAAAAGAACAAAGTTGGGGACTGTTAAATAAGAAATATGTGCCAAGGGAATTAATTTTGGAATGACCCTAGTTCGACACGAACAGAGAAATGTAATTTGGTAACCTACCCCAATTATAAGACAAAGAGAATGATAAAATGTGCGTGTGGACGTCGATTTTTCCATTTCTTTTTTTATTTGTTGCACCATAGTTCAACCATTTTTTTAATTGAAATATTTTCATAACATTACCAACTTTTTACAGAAATGAATAGACACCACTATGCTCTCTTCGTCCGTAACTGTAGATTGATCCTTCTCTTAAGGCGGGATTTCTCAGAAGGAGACCTCAATATCTTTCGGCCTGCTGAATGGAGATGGAAGATTTCACAAGTAAGTACTTCTTTTATTTCGAACTTTCTTGATTGCATAATGGAAAAAATGCTCCAGTTATCGCCAATGTCATTTATGCGGATTTGTAGTCATGGTGTTTTTCGTTTATATAATAATAAGTCACGGACTGGTGATTTCTCTTACTATTCCATTTTTCTTTATCATAATTGTTCATGTTACGTAAGATACAAATTACTTTGGTAATACATGAGCTATTACTATATTAACAACAATATAAAATGACAATACAAAATATTAAAGTTTATCAATCTATGGAAATGGTAATAAAATTAACGGTAATTAAAATTAAGATGTTTTCGATTAATTTTCACATTTCGAATGTTTCTGTGATTAATTGATTTTAATTTGACAGACCATGTTTCAGCTTCTTTAAGGAGTAGTATGTTAGGAAATTTTCATGTGTAGAGACTTCTTGAGTGCAAATCATACTAGGTATTCTCAGTGGTTATATCTTCTATATAAAACTGTATGAACTTTTCTCCCCGTTCATTCCTTCGTTGTATGCCTCCACGACATCTTAAATTGCTTCTCCCAGTCATCCTTTTGCGTCAAAATCGCTTATTATTATATGTATTTTTTGTGATTTACGTTTTCGACGTACTTCGTGTAGTTGTTCGTAAAATTATTCAAACCTCGATCTGTTTTGATGTTGAGGTTAAAAGGTTTAACCGTTAGTTACACCACTAGATGATTCGTTCCCGAGTATGTTATCACACGTATTAATGCTTTGCTTTGTTTTATCTTTGCTTTATGCTTTGCATTATTATCTTCAGATTTACCTTTTCGTTCGGCGATGTTTAAAATTTGTTCTTCAATAAAACTTCCTCCTCTGCTGATATTTCGTCAACAACCTGGTCATCGTTCAAATTAACCTCTTCTAGATGTCGTTACAATTATAGCATGTTCCTTTTCATAGAACATATTAATGAGATAATTTTTCATCACTATTAGCGTTAACTCAAACGTTTAAGTTAACTGCTGCAAATTGTTAAGCTAAGTTAAAACACTGAACGACAAGCGGTTACTAAAATTTTTATTTCTTTAGCCTCTCCTATTAATAATCAATTCAGCAACAAATTCGTATCGGGTCTGTTAGACTCGGCGCGACCATCTTTCCTAAATATTTCCTCATTATTATTGACAACATTGTCCGCATGCTATTAAAGTACATCTCAGTGCCATTTTTATTAAGGTCTGAATCTACTTTTTTGTGGCATGTCTAATTTAAATATGTTTATATGGGATTAAGCCACAATTATTGGTTGTAATTGAATTCACAGTTTTAACTAACTAGTGTTTGATGTTTCGACTTCGACTCCGGAAATCGTTCTCAAAAAAGGTTATGAATTATAAAAAATTCTGCGAAAATGTATAACCCCAGAGTTCTATTAAATAATCTAGAGGTCTAACTCCCTATGATCGTATTAAGACAAAATTCAAGCCGGCTAGAGGGCGCTATTTTTTGTCCGCTAAATCAATGCAATCAATATATTCGCAGCTAACCTTCATATCAGACAGCCATCCACTTTCCTCTACCTGTGATTCCACCACCTGTGCGCGTGCACCTCAGCCTGTCACAAAATATTTGTAACATGAGAAAACCATCACATAAATTCAATATAGACAATCGACAATAACCTAATAAAACAAGGATCTAGATTTAATTACTTGGGAGTGGCAGTATTATGTGAACGAAACATAATCTAAGAGGCTGAACATAAGCAACGACAGTATAAAAAATAGGAAAATTCCTGGAATACATTGTATGGAAAAACAAAATGATAAGTACAGGGAGCAAGATTATAATATTTCTGTAAAACTAAAATATCTAAACTCAAGTATGCCATAGAATTCACAGCAGAAACGTCGAAATAAAAAGAATAAAAATTATCAAAAGAATTATCCTTAGCGATAAATTAAAACCCCAGAAAATGAGAGAAGAATTAGAAGTATAGATTGTCTTGAAATAGGTTTAGAGCATGCATACCAATTTGGATGGACCATGTCTACAGGATGTCAAAGAAAAATGGATAAGCTAGTCAGACTCAAACACGAAGACTGCTTGAAGGCCACCAAAGTACAAGAGAAGAAGTTCATCGTCACAAGATGAGCCCATAAGAAGACTAAATACAATAGAGTAAACAGTATCTAATCCTATTAAAGGAATAAGATAAATGTAGGTAGTACTGGTATGTGTGACAGTAGAGGTTACATATTTGATTAATAATTTAAAAAATGAAAAATTTAAAGGCAGTGGAAGTAATATAAAAAAATACCAAAAGTAAAGTACCTCGAAAAAGAAAGTTCGCTCATGTTTTCACATTTTTTTCTATTTATTCAGTTTTAAAGCTCTTGTATAAATGTTTGGCGAAAAGAGCAAAAAATCGATTATTCCTATAGAGATCTAAAATTAATTTCACGAAATATTTATTACAATTCTCCTATTTTGAAATCAATGTTCAACATTTCGTTCATGTTAATTCTCTCGCATAATGAAATGTTTATAAAGCAAACAAAAACAATATGCCACAACTATTGGTTATTTATGTTTCATTATCGGAACTGTATTTTACCTATTATGTCGTTTATTATGGTATTATTATTGATTTAGATTATTAGTGTGTTTTGTTTCCTAAATCAAATTACACTATCTAATACAGAATTATACAAATATATAGTGCCACTCACACAACCATCAAGTTTTAAATCTCCCAACATTAGATCTACACCCTTTATACATTCAATAGGTAAAAAATAGAAATGAAAATATAATTGGTTTTTATACAACACTTATACATACAACAATTTCTGCTCATTTTCTCCATAAAATGTTACTTAATCACTAAAAAAGAAATGCTGCAATGAGTCTATAATGAGCAAATTTATATTGTATAAGTATACGAGACTCTTCCCATATCAGTTGGCCCAACGTTAGATTGATAAGAAAATTAAATTTTAGAGAACAAAAATAAAAGGGCAGCATAAATTTTAGTATATTTTAGCATAAGTTTTAATGCATCGAACAACATTTTTAAATTTCCTAATTATAGAAAATATTTTATAACGTAATGAAAACTATTGATTAAAATTTAAAAAAACTCATGGAATATGTAATATTAACAAAAAAAAATGGAAAAGTTTACGAATGAGTTACATCCCCTTTATTTTTAATGACATCCACAATTCTTCGAAGCATAGTTTTTACCAAGTTCTGACAAAATTTTAAGTAAACGAATCCCATATTTCTTGCAATTTTTACTTCATTTCGGTGACGGACCTGGTAGGATGTTTTCTCAGAGCTTTTTTCATTTCGCGCCATAGTCTATCGGAGACAAGTCGGGACTGTTAAAAAACCCATTCCAGAAGTGGTATGCCATACTCTTCAATCCATTTTAAACTCTTTTGTGAGGTATGACAACCTGCGCCGTCCTATTGGAAGACAAACACTTCCGCTGATGTTAAACGGTGTTCCATAATCGGTAAAAGAGATTCTTCTTAAATATTCAAATAGTCACAAAGAATTTTTAATAAATTTTTTAATATAGCCAACTACAGGAACGTAGATTCCTTGTGGATTCAAGTAGTTGTCCGTGTTTACAATCCCATCGATAAAATGTAACTTTGCCACACCTTTAGGCGACATGCTGCCCCAGATCATGGCAGATGCAGGAAATTTGACTTTTCTCTTCAGACAGTCGGGATGAAAAGCTTCATTTTTCCTGCGAATGACGTGACTCCGATTGTCTTCAACACACACTTAATTTTTAAATTTGTTAAAAACAATTCGTACTAATTTTTAAACTGTAAAACTTACTTTGTAAGTACCAAATCCTAATTTGTGAACCTCTCGATGACATGTTGATCTAGAAACGTGTCTTCCAATAACGTCACTCCATAAAACGCTTAACTCCATATAATTTTCCATGGCTCGTCGATTTTTCACTATAAATTAATTCCCTTTAATTTAATATATTCCCTATATTAATTCCCTTCGATCTTCTGACTATATTTCTTACACTATAGCGTGAGATTGCAACATATTCGCGATTTTCGAATTGAATTTTCCAGAATTCAAAAATCTAATAATCGAACAAATTTTCTCATCGATAACTTTAGCTCGACCCATTGTACAATCCACAAACGAGAAAAAAGCTTTACAAGACTACAAAATACATTTGACATTAACTGATAATATTATTATAGAATAGAATAGAACTATATACTTACTATTAGAACTTACCACCTGTAAGACTGTAAGGGAGAGCGCCCACCACACTGGCATGACAAGTGGCAAGTAGCAAGTAGCACGCATCTAGCATGTTACTTAAAATGTAACCAGTGCAAACGAATGATTAGAATAAATGACGTCACTGTCATTTTGGTGTGCGCTGAATCATTCGTTTTCATTGGTTTACATTTTAAGTAACATGCAAGACGCGCGCTACTTGCTACTTGCCACTTGCCATGCCAGTTTGGTGGGAGCTCTCCCTAGCAGACACAATATTAATCCAGGAGCAGCCATGAACCCTTACTTTTTCTGGGATCTAATCGTCATCTTAATTATACTTCTTTGTCATAATGACAATCTAGTAATTTAAGATTGCTCTTTGATAAGAGAAGGTTTTTAACATGATGTTAACTGGGACTTCTTCTTCTTCACGTGCCGTCTCCTCTAAGAAGGTTGGCAACCATCATGGCAATGATTGGTTGCCCTCATAACATGTCCCGGATATTGCAGTTTTCTGACTTTAACTGTATTTAAGACCTCTTTGACGCTATATAAGGAGACACATATATTAATTGAGACACTAATCTCATTAATGTTAAGTTGTCCAAATGTCAAATATATATATATATATATATATATATATATATATATATATATATATATATATATAATTATATATATATATATATATATATATATATATATATATATATATATATATAATTATTAGACAATAGAAATAAACATCCTACGGAAGAGAAAGACAATGAAAAATGAAGAAATTACCACGAGATGTGGGATAGAAGATGTGGTCAGTGCACCAAAAGCTGCAAAATAAAATAGAATCAACATATAGAAAGAATATCAGAAAACATCATTATAGCAACATATTATCTTAGCAGACCGATTGCGGTCTGCTAAGACAATAGGACTTCCGAGGAAAAGGTGGTATTAAGACAACATCAATGCAAACTAAAACCGATGGTAAATCAAACGTATGCTTATCAATGAAGGAGAAAATTTTAATGTAGTATATTAAGTAAAACTAGTAATAATAGTAACGTGAAACATGATGTTTGTTACTTAAATCATTTTTTTCTATCACGTTTAGGTTTGCGACGACCAATGGCATCATTTCGCTATCAACGTCCGTTTCCCTGACATTCAACTCTATATTGACGGACAGTTGTTCAGAGCCGAAAAGAAGAATCCTGAAGTAATCGACGATTGGCCTCTTCACCCCACCAAAGGAATCAATACTACCCTTACTGTTGGAGCTTGCTGGCAAGTAAGTATAAATAAAAATTTAAGTATACAATCAGTTTTCTTTTAACTTTGTCTTCTTTGATTTTTTCAAGCACTCCGATAACTTTTTTTTAGAATTGAAATTTTTCTAGCCTAATATATCTTCCGTCAATATTCATATATCTCTCAAGAGACTGTATACTTCTCATCGTACTGTAATACGTAATATAAGTTATAATAAACTGATACATGATACTGATTATTCTAATTCTATAGCTTTGGAGCAAACTCTTCATCATTTTTGTCATCATAACCATCATCTTTACTAAAAAAATAAAATATAAAAGTCTAAATATAAAGACCATATTGCTATTGTATGGTAACATTATTAGATGTGACATGTGACTCCTTCTAATTTTTCTATGTCTTGTTTTTATTTTGGTGATCATCCTTTAAACCAGACACGTTTATTTAATTTATCTTGTCACCGTGTCTTATATTCTTCTTTATTTCTATTTCCTATCTTTTCTGATATTTTCAACGCATTAATTTCTTTCAGGGTTCCGATAATAAGATGAGACATCATTTGAAAGGATATTTAGCTGGACTGAGCATCCTTCTCGGGGAAAATGAAAAACCAGAAGTCCTAAGTTGCCTTCATCAATGCAAAGAAAGTTTACAGGTAAAGTATTTCTTCATATTCTAACATACATAACCAATCAATCAAGGTTAAAAGATATTATCATACTATTATAATTAAAAAATATTTTTAAAATTGTTGTTGGCGTTGTTTAGGCTATAGACCAAAACATACTGTGATTTAAAATTGCAATCTCATTCAGGTACCCTCTATGGAGCTACTCCAACCAGGCATGGAATTATTGACCAACTCAGACTTGACCGAAGTTACCGTCGAAGGAGACAACCGCACAAACTTGGAAACTCTCGTTCGCAAAATTGGATACGCCAATACGAGAGAATTCCCGACGCCGGGCCGAAGGAATTTGCGTCTCACCACCACAGTTACCTGCGATAACGGCAAACAAGTTAAAGTAAGATAATTATCTATAAAAGTTTATAAATTTGTTATTGACTTTCTTATAAAGGGAAATAAAAATATACATTTTTTTTCTTCTACGAACCAGCTGATATAATTTTGTTTTTTTTTCGTTTATTTTATGTAGTTTCTTTATATTATATGTTGAAAATTAAAATAATCGACTTTAGAAACCAGATTGAACGCTATTAGTATATGAAGTGACCATCAATTCATAATTTTGTTTCAAAGAGTAAAATGTAGATGACTTTTAAATATATAAATTTATAAAGAATAAATCATAGTAAAAATTTACATGAATGGATTCATTTTGAAGTACAATAATTGTTTAAGCAAAATTATTGTAGTCGATCCCAACAAAAACTTAGAGCCACTAAATTAAGGTCATAAAATACATACAAAAATAAGAGCGATTAAACCACACTATAAGACACTGCCAGCAACTTAATTAAACGATCTTACGTTATAATATCAAACCTGCACTGATATGTTCGGTTTGTATGAATTTATTACATAAAAATAATGTAATAAATTATCTATAAAAATTTTGACTATTCATTAGTGTGAAAATTCTTTTAATCAATGGGTTATACAATAAAATATTACATTACATGTAGCTAATGTAACAGAAATATTTTTGTAATATCGGTTCCCGCTAATAACTATAAGTTGATACGCATGAAAAATGTGTGTAATATTTATAGTCGGTAAAATATAGGAAAAAGTTTGAAATCTCGATTTGGGAAAGGGTCACAACACTTCTTTATTGTTACTTTCCCTGTAAAATCTAATAAAATTTAGATATAATAGATACGATAAGATGTTAAATTTATCAGTTATGTTTAAGAAAATAGTTACAGTATCTCAATCTTAAAAACGACTGTCGCGAAAAAACAATAAATACACCACCTATTTTACTAATGTAAAAACTAGTTGGACTCAGACTTGCTGCGAGAACACACTACAGACAATTAAAGGTCTTTAATAATGTCGGATTTCCTCATGTAGTTTGTAGATTGACGAAGTAGTTTTTTTCAAACTAAACATCTCTTTGGGGGAAAACCAGATAGTCCCCATCACTGACGCTCACAATCCATATAAAAATCCCCTACTTGATAAAACATATCGCGTACAACACTCCAATATGGTCGAAATGTTCTATAAGATCGAAGGCTGTTTCAAAATGCACAAAAGAATAGATACGATTCTTATCTACTACATATTACCTTGAAATGGTCACTCTACTTTTAATTTTTGATTTTTATATGTTTTATGTTCTTAGTTTTATTATAATTGAATTTAGATATTTACAATAGCTTCAGAAAAATATATCAATTATTTTTAGGTTCCGGATGCACAAACTTACGTTATGGTTTTGAGACCACAAACTCCTAGCATTATGTTAAACGGAACAGGGAACATGGCAAGAAAGTACGAAGACTTCAGAATGGGTGTACGAGTTCTCGCTGATATACATATAACCGGAGAACAGAAGTTAGACAAATGTCAATTGACCATCTACCCCAACCTTAATCCGGATCATGAAAATTTAAGTGTGTCTGAGGAAATGCTTAAACGCTTAGGTAAGTTGTAGTTAAAATGTAATTGAACAGGGTGTTTTCATATTAGGGTCATTATTTTATTTTGGGACCTATGCTGAATAGATGTGATAAAAAAATATTTTTTAAATATGTTTGCAGAGATGATTTTGAATTATTTCTGATTTTATTTTATTGTTATATTAGGCGGGGTACAGAAAAATAACAACTATGTTACTTTCTAACAAAATGAAGTTTTATTGTTAGTAGCAGCGTTTATCTCAAACATAAACCTATTACATGAACATCTCAGTCTGATATCTTACTTCACGGTTAAGTTTACCACTTTATTACCTAATTTTGATTTAAGTAGTTCTAATTTTTTTAATATGAGAAAATAATAGCAGTTTAAGCTTATAATTTATAGAGTCAATTCAAATACTTCAAATAATTAAATAACGAATAAAAGTTGAATATCTTTAAAAGTAGGTTTAGTAATTAACCCTTTAACGTCTTTCAAAAATAAGGGACAAAAAAGTAACGCAGTAGTTTGATGAGTAACATAGTTGTAAACTTTTCCCATCATGATTTTTTATTTGCTAATAAAAACAGAATGGAAACAATAATAAAACATATCAAACCAAACAAAACTTCTTTGTAAATAAAAAAATCAGAACCTCTCAAATTAATAATCATAAACAATATACATTAGTCTTTGTCTGTTCAGTCCCATTCAAATACATTTAAGGGCACATCACGTTTACCCTTCTTTGTTATTTTAGGATTTGGTACAATTACTCTAATATTTTCATATGCTTCATATGAAATATCCTTTTCTATAAGTATAAACTTCTTTCCTGAATCGTCAATTGATTTTAAAAATATAATCTTGATATCTCCTTCGTCGTAAACATCACTTTGAGCGACACTCAGATAAGAATTTGATTTTTTGTTGGATGAAACTTTAACTAGTATATAAACACCGACAGATATTTTTGATGGGTGTAAATTTTCTTTTTCAATTAATTTGTTATCAACTTAATTAGAAACCGAAGCTTCTTCTTCCTTTTTAAAGTTGAAGATTTGAAAGAGACTCATCATCATCTGAGCTAGAAGTTTGATAATAAACCATTTGGTAATAACTCTTTCTGGGATTGGTCACGATGTTAGATATATCAGTGAATACTTCATTTTCGTTCATAAATTGAAGCGCATTTCTTTTATTATTAACAGTATCGTCCACGTCGTTTCCTTCAGACATTTGACTGATAGTGCTGGCTGAAATAAGAATTGGCTGATATGTTTTAGGTGACAAGTAGTCACAAAGGCCCCTTTGACAAAAGCAACTTAGATCACGGTAGTACAATTTACCAGCAGTTTCCGAGAAAACTTGATATACCTGCATTGTACCGCGAAGAGGCACAATGTCCTTTGGAACGGTCTGCTCCACCTTTTCAATATCCGCATCGGTTATGAAATACAACTGAGTTTTGCTGCAGTCTTTTAAAGCGAGAAAAAAATTCTCCGCATCATTGATCCCACCAGAAGCATCTTTTTGGTCTGCTGTTCGTTTAAGATAGCCACCGACACCAGCAGCCGCGCCCTTCCCATGCCCTGCTTCAAAAAAGTTCCAGGTTATGCGATCAAAGCTATACTCCTCAAATGGCTTCAGGATTGTGAGAATTATTTGGTGACACGCTGCAAAATGAACTAACTTGTGCTTTGTCCGCTTCTTGTGGTTTTGTATACAAAACATCAGTATGCAATGTACTTTGTTTGCGCGATCCTCCAAAATGATGTGATTTGATTTCTTCAAAGTATTTTCTGTTGTAATTCTCACTGAAGTCGACATGTAGAAGAGCTTCGTTATGTTTTAAGTCATCAATAGCCAATCGGTAACTTTTGTATTGCATTTTAATATTATCAATATGTTTCTTCATCGCTGTCACTGCCACTTTAAACTTGTCTATCAATTCTTCGACAGTGCCTTCAGTAATTTCTTTTACGTTTTTCGTTATTTTTTGCATTTTCCGGATTTGTCAGTAATAATCTCAGATCTCCGAACCCATTGTTGCCATTTAAGAGTTTGTGACTGATTTTGTGTATTATATATTAGATCTTTGGTATTGCAAGAGGCGCAACTATTCGTAATGCAAAGTCTGTTATCAGTTGCACTTACAGTCTTCTCAAAAATCTGGGTCATGTTTGATTCTGATATGATTTTCTTGCTGTAAAGAGCATTCAGAATTTATTGTGTAATAATATGCATCTTACACTGATAGGTATCCCTACCACCAACCACTGGTGGTTTTATGTAGAATGGTCTGTGCTTATAGAAGTAAGAGTATGAGCAATTCTAGTCAGGATTTTCTCTCTTGAAAGAATTAAAAAGATTTTTCATTGGATCGAGCAGGTACCTCTTCTGCATTTTACTCTTTTTTAGGTCACGGTTTCTCGTTTTCCAGCAGTGGTTCTAGAAATGTAATCACGATCATAAAACATCTTAATTTTTTTGTCAGAGTAGCCTGTTTTGGTGCAATCTCTGGTTTCTTTAGCTTAATAATACCGAGACTTTCTTTCACAATAGCGAGTTTAATTTTTGAATTCCGTATAACATTTCCATAAAAAATTCGTCGTATTGCAAACCGATCTCTAACAGTCTTTATTTTGGAGTAATGGTCTCTGATGGCGTTCGACAAAGTTGCGTACTTTTCGTCTCTGTCCTCTAGTTTATTTGCTTTGTGTTTCTGTCTTTGGCATATTTTCTTCTTCTTGTTATATTTATTTTTTAGCATCTCGTTCTCTTCCTTTAATTTTATATTTTGTCTGTACAATGCAGATCGGTCTCGTCTTCTTCCTCGAAAGTGTGGAGAAACAGGAGTTCCTGCTCGTGGTGTCGAATCTGGTGTGTTATTTAAAATTACTTGAGTTATTTTTTGGCACTCTTGACGTTTCTTGTTTGCTTTCCTCCATTTACGCTTTGAATCTCTATGTTCTCTCTCTGTCATATCTGTAACAAGTTTTTTATTGGAATGATATCTTTCAAGATCGGATAGCCAAGCGGGCTGGCCGGCTGGCTTCTCCTTCGCTTCAATGCGGGAGATGTCAGTTCAAATCCCCAGCTCGGTGTACAGAAAAACAAAAAGGCTAACGCAGCAGTTTAAAATTCTAAATGAATCTGCGGCTTAGTACAGAATATGCTGGTATCTGATCGGCCGATGGTGGAGCAGTACGGCAAGAGATAAGGGCTTGCGGCTCTCGGTGATACTCCTCCATAGATCCCTACCGGAAGGGTGTGTGCCGCCTAAATACCGGGTATATATATATATATATATATATATATATATATATATATATATATATATATATATATATATATTTACTATCGGTATTTTTGATCGGGTCCTATTTCAATTTGTCCCTGTAGCGTCGTTGTTTTTCAACCTTTGTTAAAGCTATTATGTTGTAAATAGTAACCTGTAACAAAATAATCCTGAAGTAGATTATTTTAACGATTAAATGGGTAAATTTTAAGTAAAAACTTGAAGTTTAATTACTGCGTTACTATATCTACAACTGCATTACTTTTCGTGGTAACACAGTGTATACGTAACGCAGTTGTGGAAATCATACGTATTTTGAGGTTATAGCCATTTGGTAATGAATTTAAACAATGAATGGTTTTACATTTTATGAGCAGACAGGATACGTACGGTTCGTCCCAAACCCTTTTTTCAGTGCGTCATAGTTGATCGAATTCTCTCTAACGCATAAAGCTAGAAGTGACGGAAAAAGACGTGAGTCTGTGATTATTATACATAGAACGTAGAAAATTATGTATCGTTCACGAGTATTTGCATATTAAAGCGAATTCTACTTACGGATGTATAATTGGTTGGAGTTTAGAATACGCTAAATAGATATCCAATCAGTGATGCGCATAAATATAATTTGACGCAGATTATCTTGATCATGACAATACTTTCACAATGTCAACTGATAAAACGATAATTGTCATTCCAGGTTAGTATTTTCAGACATTTTACGGTGAAAATTTAATTTTGTATTTATTGTCATAAAAATATTTTAAATATGCCGAGATATACCGAGAAAGAACAAAGACTACATACCTATTTAAAAAAATACCCTGTTCACATTTAGTCGATTACGTTCCTGCAACTGTCAGATTTAACTAAAATGTCAAGCAATAATTTTCGACATTCTTAAAATCCTATATGACGTCACATTTAGTGACGCACTGAAAAAAGGGTTTGGGACGGACAATATTTGTATCCTAGATTAAGACAACCGTTATTGAAAGTTCTGCAATATAATTTAACTGTGAACATATTTTATATTTAGTATATAAAGATTAAAGTTTCTCGTTCTTTATTAGTATATTTAATAAGGATACATCTTTCAACAATATTTACTCCTTTTTGTTTTAGGAATGGCTGCTAGAATTTCGAAAGACGGAGTAACTATTACCGGATCTGACATGGTCTATAACTACCAACAACTATTGCGCCAAATTGTCTACACTAATCGCAAACCTGCCTACTACCTCAACAGGGTCTTCAAGCTTACTTGCTCCGAACTAAATGGAAGATTTACCTCAAATGAATATGTTCAAACTGTAAGTAATCTTACTTAATTAAATAAGTTGTGGAAAAAACATGTTTAAACGTGTGCCACGTAGGTACAACCACACGAGTACTCCTCGCTGGTGCCAAGACAAAATCTTGTGAGCTGTTTAGGAGTGCCAGAGCTATATTTTCTTTATTTATTTTAGTTTTGTAAGGGTTTTGTATATGGTTATTTTTTTTGCTTGAAAATGAGGAGAAAACTAAGATAGTGGCATCAACACCCATCAATAGAGCCAGAAACATCGGCCACCAATTCACTGTTGATAACTCTACCATTGAAGTGGTGGACAAATTCACATAGGCTCCCTGATCACCAAAGAGAACGTAAGAGAACGTCATGACGGAAGAAATCAAGCGAAGAATAGTCCTAGCAAACAAATGCTATTTTGGATTGAGTAGACATATGAGAAGCAGAAATTAAATTTAATATAAAAAAATTTATTTAACAATTCCTTTTTAAAAGTTATAATATTAGTATTAATATTAATTTTATACCTTTTATAATGGAATTTTTAAATATTTTTTTTGTGATACATGGTATACAGCCAACTACAGGAATTTAGTTTTCTTGCGTATTTTAAATATAATATGTCGTATATATATATATATATATATATATATATATATATATATATATATATATATATATATATATATATATATTTGTTACCATTATATTCTTTTTACGTTTCAGCTAACCGTTATTCATCCTCAGCCTAAAGAAACAGTTGCGCATGCTACAATTAACAAACACAGTGTAGAAATTCGTCCTGCCTCGGTAATATCCCACGACTACATGGCCTCTGAACATATGAACCTCGTAGCTACAGGTGGTTCACACGCCGTTACTATCATAGTAGTAGTGTGCGTCGGCTTCTTACTTTTTATGATTGTTTTGGGAGTCATCAGAATCAGAGCCGCTCACCATAAAACTTCCAACGAAGAGGCGCAAGATGGAGAGATGACCTGGGATGATTCTGCTCTTACTATTACTGTTAACCCTATGGAGGTACGTATACGATCGATAGTATTTTTTCGGAACCCTCAATAAATTAGGAACGTACGTACGTGTTTAAAAACTCACATAACTGACACTAGCCATTTGAAAAAAGTGGCATAGCGCGCAAGTTCTCTTCTACTTTATCTTTAAAACGCGTTTTTAACAGCTGCCAACCCTAATTTTCTAGCATTTTTTCTCAAGCAACCTTTGCCTTTGCGGCCACTTTTTGACTGACAACCTGTTATCAATGTATTATATCCTTAAATGTATGTAAAAATATGAGTTTGATTAACTACAGTACATTCAACCAACTTACACCTCTTCTCTTACACCATTAATATACATAATTGATGGAATTCCAAGGAAACCTTTCGTTGTAGTATAAGGCACTATACACTGCACTGGAGTTCTCCATAACCTTTTTAATTACTTACTTTGTTTAAAATAGTTTTGCCTGTATTATGAGTTAATTTGTATAAAATGAGGAGCAAAATTTTTAATGGAATTTTAAATATTATTGTTTATTTGGCTAATAATGAATGTACAAATATAATGGTTAATCTGCTGTACAATTATTTTATAAATAACATTACAATAGTGTACTTACTGATTATTTAAATTTATAAATCATCATTATCGTCACTAAATTCACTACCTCTATCATTAAGTAAATCTATAATCACTGGATTAATTTCACTAATTTTATTTTCCGGGATCCACCAATCTTCTATTAATTTTTCACATTAATTTACAGTTTTGGTCCATATTTCTGGAATTGCAATTTTAAGAGCTTCTTGTCACATATACCCCAGATTTGTTGGATGGGGTTAAATTGGCAGTTATACTGCGGTAACCGTAGTACTTGATGCCCATAACTTGATACAATTTGGCCACCTATATAAACTGTTACGTTTTTCGTTACGTTTCGATATTTCCAGTAACTCTGATTTGAAGGCGTATTCTGAAAAAGTGATATTATTTTTAACTAACCAATTTTTTATGCTCGGTGTGTTCCACGACTATTTTGGTTGTTTCTCCAAAATTTCCGAATGGTAAGGTGCATTATCTAAAACTATAACTGATGGTTCATTCAGACTAGGTAACAGTTTCTCCTCAAGCCATTTAATAAACATATCTGTATTCATATTTTCATGGTAATCAGCAGATTTTGATTATGAAGAAAATCTGCGTTTTCTAAGACTTCTTTCCCTTCTGCATGATGTGTGTTTTGCCTTTATTGATTTTATGTTGTCGTCTTGCCAAATTCTTTTAATTCCACCCTTTGCAAATATCCATGTCAAAATTTAATCCTTTTGTGAAACACACTACTCTGTTCGCATAAAAGCAACCTATTATTTTCTTTTTTGAATTTAAATCCTAAATATCTCAACACTTTCCAAATGCTAGTCCTCTTAATTTCAGAAACTTGTCTTTCTCTTATTTTGGCCAGTAATAAGATAATGAAAAAATAAAGATAATGAAAAGAAAACTCACACAAAGTAAAAAAGAAATATACAAGCTGAGAGATAAAGACGGAAAGGCAACAACAGATAAACAAAACATTCTGAAAATAACCAGAGAGTTTTATAAAGACCTCTGTACCAGCCAAAGACCACAAGACAATTTCCCGACACGAGTAAAGACTCTCATACATCAGGGATCAGAAATACTTGTTGTTTGTTTGTGTTTAAATGACTGCGGACACTAAATCCATTCGCCAATCTTACAATTTGAGGTGTAGTGTGTGTGTGTGTGTGTGTGTGTGTGTGTGTGTGTGTGTGTGTGTGTGTGTGTGTGTGTGTGTGTGTGTGTGTGTGTGTGTGTGCGTCATTGTCTTTGCTAAGAGACGCTAATTGTATCCGAACGTCTGCGGTCCCTCCGGTGTGTACCGATCACACAAGGATAGAAATTATTTTCATTTATTAATTTTTTTAATAAACGAAAATTTCCACCCAGGTGGGATTCGAACTCACGACCTTTAGGTTTTTAAAGGCAGGCGCTCTTACCACTGAGCCACAGAGGGGAAAAGAAATACTTTTACCCATTACTGTGTCAGGAAGTAAGAGCAGCTTTAAAGGACCCATCATCAAAGACCCATCGATCGTCTGGTGATGATGGACTCGTTATCGAGGCAATAAAAGCAGGAGAAATTTTATTAAAATCAGTAAGCGAACTGTTTAATAAATGCTTACATGCGCGTACGATTCCAAAAGACTGTAAGGCAGGAATCACACTGCTCGACCAGACCGACCGTCCACGATCGACCAAAATTACAAGTCTATGAAAATGTATGCGTTGACTCAGACTGGTGGACCGTCCATCACTTACAGCGACCGACCGCGATCGTCCAGTTTTGAAATTCGGACTTGTTGGAATTTTTGGTCGTTTGGTCGATGAATATGGAACATTTCGCATTCATTTGTGCTGTTTTGAGCTAAGACATTGACCATTGACATTTAAAAATTTGTAATTAACCTATAAAATTGGATTTGTTTTTGTTTCTTTGGATTATGTAGTTTGTATATCCAATACAAAAATTAAGGTTCTATTAATTTTTTGGAAATGCTAAGGAATACTTTGGAATACTAAGTTTTTGGAAAACAGGACTTGTTCATGCGATAATAATTTTGAAATTTTATAAAATCATTTAATAGAATGGGGTATAACACAAATAATTCTCCTTGTTGGTGTCTTTTTAAAAAATGTCTTAAAAAAACAAACTGTCCTACGCCTATAAAGATATCAAATAAGTGATAAATAATTTATCAGTAGAATTATTGCTGCTAACTCTATCCATAATTCAATTTTTTACAAAGAACCCAATAAAATGTAATAACAAAAATGTGGTTATGTTGCTACACACTCCTGACGTCTTGATGGTCGGTCGATCGATCGTGGACGAGTAATGTGAGTTTAAAAATAAAAATACAAAAGTTGGTTTTTTCGCCGTCGGACGGTCGGTCGTGGTCGATCGAGCAATTTGATTCCTGCCTAATAAAATAAAATAAATGCAGTAATAGTCTTGTTACACAAAAAAGGCGATATTACTAAATTAGAAAATTATAGACCTATCAGCCTCTTGACACATATGTACAAACTCTTTATGAAAATCTTAACAAAGAGGCTAACACATAAACTTGATTTCTATCAGCCCAAAGAACAGGCAGGCTTCAGGGCAGGATATGGCACAAATGACCATTTGCATACCATAAAGATCTTAATAGAAAAGTGCATCGAGTACAACATACCACTGGTTCTTGCATTTGTCGATTACGAGAAGGCTTTGGATTCTGTAGAGTTTGAAACAATACTGGAAGCCCTAAATCAAAGCCGAATAAGGTACACGACACTAATCAAAAACATCTACGAGAACGCTACATCAAGTATACGACTATACGAAGACACAGAAAAATTCAGCTTAGGTCGAGGAGTTAGACAAGGAGACAATATTTCACCAAAATTGTTCACGGCAGCTCTAGAGTCGATATTTAAGAGCACTCAATGGCAAGATATGGGCATCAATATAGATGGAGAAAGAGCAGGATTAAAGATAAACTTTGAGAAAACTAAACTTATAACAAATCTCGTAATGAGTGGAAATATAACTATTGACAATAATACCATACAACAAACAGACACTTACAAATATCTGGGACACGAAATCAAAATAAGCAGAGTCAATCAAACACATGAAATTCAGAGGCGAATAGGCCTAACTTTGGCAGCATTTGGCAAATTAAGCCATGTTCTAAAAAGTTCAATTCCCATGTGTCTCAAGCGAAAGGTTTATAACCAATGTGTTTTACCTGTACAAACTTATGGAGCAGAGGCTTTAAAACTGCACTCACGCAAAAATCTGCGAATAAACTCAGAGTTACACAACGAGCCATGGAACGTGTAATGCTGAACGTGAGCCTTCGAGACCACATAACAAACCAACAAATCAGGAAAAGCTCAGGAGTTCAAGGCGTCATCGAAAGAACCACGTCGCTTAAGTGGAACTGGGCAGGGCACTTAGCCAGAACACAAGATGGACGGTGGACAAGACGTATTATGGAATGGAGGACCAGAAACTATAAAAGAAGCCGAGGACGTCCACCGACTAGATGGACCGATGATATAAAACGTGTAGTGGGAAACTGGCTACAAGCGGCCCAGTGTAGAGAACACTGGAAAGAACTGAGGGAGGCTTATGTCCAGCAGTGGACGCGATTGGCTGATTGATGATGATGAAAGTATCTAAACTGACATGTTGATTGTTTTCGCGCATTCGATACAAAATATTGCGAATTTCGAATTTTTCTCCATCAGGTAAGTCAATGGTACTAGAATGTTTACGAGTTGTTTTCTTGTCCTCGTGATAGTCACAGTAAGATCTTGAGAATTTCTGACAGTCTTCATTACAGTTTTTAGCTTACTTTCACGTATCCCGAGTGCATCACAAACGCGTTGATTTATACATAATAATGACTTTAAAGGTCCACCATTATTGTGTCTTTCAGTTCTAGAGTCGATATTTAAGAGCACTCAATGGCAAGATATGGGCATCAATATAGATGGAGAAAGAGCAGGATTAAAGATAAACTTTGAGAAAACTAAACTTATAACAAATCTCGTAATGAGTGGAAATATAACTATTGACAATAATACCACACAACAAACAGACACTTACAAATATCTGGGACACGAAATCAAAATAAGCAGAGACAATCAAACACATGAAATTCAGAGGCGAATAGGCCTAACTTGGGCAGCATTTGGCAAATTAAGCCATGTTCTAAAAAGTTCAATTCCCATATGTCTCAAGCGAAAGGTTTATATCCAATGTGTTTTACCTGTACAAACTTATGGAGCAGAGGCTTTAACACTCACGCAAAAATCTGCGAATAAACTCAGAGTTACACAACGAGCCATGGAACGTGTAATGCTGAACGTGAGCCTTCGAGACCACATAACAAACCAATAAATCAGGTAAAGCTCAGGAGTTCAAGGCGTCATCGAAAGAACCACGTCGCTTAAGTGGAACTGGGCAGGGCACTTAGCCAGAACACAAGATGGACGGTGGACAAGACGTATTATGGAATGGAGGACCAGAAACTATAAAAGAAGCCGAGGACGTCCACCGACTATATGGACCGATGATATAAAACGTGTAGTGGGAAACTGGCTACAAGCGGCCCAGTGTAGAGAACACTGGAAAGAACTGAGGGAGGCTTATGTCCAGCAGTGGACGCGATTGGCTGATTGATGATGATGAAAGTATCTAAACTGACATGTTGATTGTTTTCGCGCATTCGATACAAAATATTGCGAATTTCGAATTTTTCTCCATCAGGTAAGTCAATGGTACTAGAATGTTTACGAGTTGTTTTCTTGTCCTCGTGATAGTCACAGTAAGATCTTGAGAATTTCTGACAGTCTTCATTACAGTTTTTAGCTTACTTTCACGTATCCCGAGTGCATCACAAACGCGTTGATTTATACATAATAATGACTTTAAAGGTCCACCATTATTGTGTCTTTCCATGGTAAACTATTTATGCACATTTGCAATTAATTCATCAATATCCAACTTACGTCTAGGCATGATGGTCACTTGAAACTACACGTTTGAATTAGAATGTACTGATTTTAGATCAATATGACAGAAACTTTCTAACTGTTGTGCTTGAGAGGTAAAATATAACTGCTTACAAAGATCCTAAACACATTAAGCTTTACCCGTAATCGCAGACATCTTAAAAACGGTACACTCTAACAGACATATGATCAATCTAACGACTACTATTTAAATTGACAAAATGTTCTAGTTTACTCCGAAGTATTTTTTAACAAAAATTACAGGTGATATTTTAGTACTTTGGTTATCTACTTTGAATATAAATTATCCTTAGCAGGGTAGTATTTGTTTCAGAAAAAAATTAAAAAACAAATAGGTGAACTAAATTTACGTTAAATAACATTATGCAAGGATACTATTTATTAAAAAAAATGTAACAAAATATGCAAAACTATGAACAACGGGTTAATGACACATATATTTATTTTATACCTAAAATTTAGCAAAGTGTTAAATATTATGGCGAACACCAGTGTAGTTTACCGTGCCTTTTACTACAACGAAAGGTTTTCTGTGAATTCCGTTAATCGTTTAAAGGTGGAAGTTGGTTGAATGAACATCTTGAATGAATCTTGCAGTGAGATCTCGTACTATAAAAATTGGTTAATCGCACGAATAATTGCTATAGCCATTTTCAAGCTTTGGGTTTGATCACCAGTCTATTTTACAAGAACAATAGTGGTACCAGTGATGTGAACTGTCGATCTTTATGACTAAAGCCCCGAATTAATTAAACCCAAGTTCTGAATATGACTCCAATGAGAGAGTCAAAAACCTCGCAACCCGACCAAGTCCAATCAGAAAATTGAGTTCGTGGGCTATAATAATGTAATATTATGTAGAACATTTACTATATTACATGCTTCAAATATTTCTTTATTAATACAAATTCGTTTTAGAGCGCTGAAAGAAAACTGGAAGGCGGCCAAACAGTGGACTACAGTGACAGCGAGCAGTCAGATTCTGAGAGTTCCTCTGATGACGACAACATGGATGGACCGTGCAGAATTGCCGACTCTTCTGATGAAGAAGATGAGCAACCGTGTCGCATTAGAAAACACGACTATCAGAACGTCAGTCAACTAGAGTGGGACAATTCCACTATGTAAAGTCAAAAAATGTAGAGGATTGTTCATTTGCGGATGAATTTTTCAGATAATGTCACATAAGTAAATGTTTATATTTTACTCATACATCTCTTGAGATCATTTGATTGTAGAAATGCGTATAACTTTGTGGATGAAGTACAAAAATAGTTATAGTACAAATACATAAGAGACAGTGTCTTTGTGTAGGTTTTTAACCTTTTGCTTTCAGAACTGTTACAAACCATGACAAAAGTGTAACATTTAGAAATGAAATCTCATAGGAATTGGTTAGGATTTAGTTCATGAAAAATTTAGTTTTTTTACTGTGTACAGTAGCGGAGTCATTATCAAAGTTTATATTTAATTTCTATTCTCAAATGATCAAAGAGGAACCCAATTTTAAAGCTATTCCCTTTAATTGCATTTTACAATATGAAAATAAAATACATCATCCGCATATGTTCATCAAGAAAGTGAAAATGAAGGTGCGAAGCGTTATTAAGACGCATGAAGTGCCATATAGTGCACTAAAGACGCCGTACAAACCACAAGCAAACGTTTGCCTAAAATAAACAATAAACAGCTTCGAATACTGTACTAAAAACTGGAAAATAACTTTTAAAACACATTATTGTCACTGCGAGTACATAAATTGTAAATAGTACCCAAATCTTTAAAAATGTTCGATACTTTTAATGTCCTCAAACAGATTAAGTAGATAAATAAAAGTACTGTAATAGTTATTCTAATAACTGAAAGCGTTTCAATAGTTACGTCAACAAAATAATTCAGTTACGTAATATACGAAAATCGCACTCAAAAACAAGTTACACAAAATCTCACTTCAAAGTGACAGAAAAATTGCGTTTCAATGTTACTTACGAACAATGAGTTCCAAGAAGACAGTTACTCGACTCATTCCAAAAAGTTACTGATGGAAATTTTACATTATAAGACAGTCATATAGGAAAATCTCGCTTCAAAAAGAGTACACATAAAAATCATGGTCTAAAAACTTGTATGTTTGAGAATAAGGTTATCGAACTTAATCACATGTTGGTGTTACCTATATAGTACCTAAAACTAGGCAACCAATTCGCCACGGTTTTCCATAAAAGTTGACATTAACTAAGATTTGTAGAATATATGGAAATAACTTATTTTTCGCCGAATCACGATCTAGAATGTTGTATTGGCGTCTTAAAAAGAAAAGTGTTAGTTAAAAGTACCAATATCCAGTTGTTTGTATATATACTATTTCTATTTGCGTAAATGCTATGCTTGAATGCCTACTGGTTTGCTTGGGTTGTGTACGGCGTTTGATATCAATAAATTAATCGTCCATATTTGTTAGAGATATATATACAGGTTGTTGTATATGTATATCCATACACCCTTTTTAGCTAGTAATACATATTTGATGACGCTGTTTACACCCTTTCCTGCTTGTATTTTCGCCTATCTTTTCGGTTAACGGGCAGCCAGTTTTATATTAGTAAGTTTTGTTATATTTTAAAATTTGTTTATCAGTCAAGTAACCGAATATTATTCCACTTAAACCAGGATACTCAAAATGCAGCTAATCTCTAACAGTATTAAAAACAATTGGTATTTTTTAAAGATATTTATTTCATTTATTTATTAGTTTATTTCATTTGCAGCCGTTTGTCAGCAGCTACACAGTGAGTGTTATCTTCAGGCTTCTATATGTTCACTGACAGTAAGCTATACATAAAACATGTGACGGCTGTCAATATCAAGTGATGTCTAGATGTAACGACTGTCAAAATCACAGGACATACGTCGTGTGAAAGCTGTCATTGAACGTAGTATCGGCAACTTGAAGTTCTTAAGTCTATATCTTAAATAAAAAATGATGAACAGAAATATAATATTATTGGGATACTCACGTTTAGACATCAAGATCAGCCTATTTTTGCAATAACATGGTGAATATTGTCTTCAGTGGTCTGGCTATTCTCGGTGAAATTTAAACTTCGTAAACAGAATTATACGTAAATCGTACGATGGCAATCAAAGTTACGTGAAAAGTGTTATGCCATTGCTTCTAAAATAACTTGAGAGCTGTCACCGAACACAATATTGCCAACTTAAAGTTCTAAACAAAAATTTATTAAATAAATAAAGTAACACTTTCTGTTTCTATTCATTCAGCAGATCAGTGATCAGTTTTAGATCAATAGCTTTGGAGGTTTGGGGTATCTCACAAAAAAATTAAAGGCAGCTCGCTACTGAGCAGCTTTAAGTATTATTTACTTCAAATTATTAATAAGTATTACAATTTTTATTCTATAATAAAAATATTTATGCAAATAAAAGGTTATTAAGAGGAATAATCATTCAGTTACTTCTCATGCTCATTGTTGCCGGTAAGGACATTTTTTGACATGTTTTTAATGTGTGGAAGTATTCAACTTGATGTTTTGATAAACAAAATGTTTACTATATTAATTGTTCACCCTATCCTTTTTACTATTAACCAGTATTTGTTTTGAAGCCTAATCAAAGGCCTATCGGCAAAAACTGTATATTATCTTCTGGCAAGTTTGTTGAATTAAAATTTTAACTTATTTCTTATTATACTTAACATTTAATCTTTTACCTTTTATTAGTTTTTTAATCGTATTTTAAACTAACGAAGTATTGTTTTTATATAATGATTATGTATGCGCTTTTTTGTACTTACTTCTTATTTTAGGTTTTAAGATTTTTTTAGTTTCTCCTATTGCACCTTTACTGTTAACAACCTCGATCATATCAATTTTTTAATAATGTGCAATCAATCATGACTGGTTTGTTTTGTGTTTCGAATATCGTCACAAATGCCGAGTCCACCGCAATAGAATAGCAATCGAATACTTGAGTACAAACTCGAATTTTGGACATTTAATTTTAATTTTGGAGGAATATGTCTCATTACAACTATTTATAATACAAGATTACTACTCTATTCACAATGAAATATGTGAAGTTATGTTTTATAAGTAATTTGTGCGTAAAATAATTTGAGATTAGATTTGGCTGAAATGAGTTCGTTCACTTATGCTTACCTTAAAAAAGCTTTGTTAATTCAAATCTGTAAATATGAATAGGCCTTGTGGCACTAGACGTTATTGAGGGGGTATACTATGTTCAGTTCTAACTGTGTTTAGAAACGAAATCGATTCAATACACGCAGTCGCATGCCTTAATTCGTTTTAACTACATATGAACTAAACACGCTGAACTTTCAGAGTATAGAAACAACATTTTGGACTATCTAGAAATAAAAAGCTTTGTATGTGATTTCGTTCTACAAACAAATTAAAAGAAGATTGTTTCTAAAACAAAGAGAAAATAGTACCCTGGATGCTAAAAATGTCAGATTAATGAGCTTAGAACATATTCATTGTTGAGTATTGTTAATATGTAAAGTGGACTTTACATAATAATTCATTTCTGGAGATGATTCATCAAGACCTATTTCGGAGCGTAAGTCTCCTCGGTTACCGTCGTTACTACCCTCACTGCCACTTTATACTTCTATGCCCAGATGTCACTTCTATACCTTCGATTGCCGTCGCTTTTAGGTTGGGAATGGCGTGAATATTCTTTACATCGAGAGGTGAATTGATGAAAGAAACGGCCGATGTTAAAGATAGCCTCTTACCGTAATCTCTTTTGTTAAGACAATGGAACGTTTTCCGATTAAAGCCTTCTCAAATAATTCTTGGTATATAAGGAGAAACATTAGAGATGTAGTAGGTTAGCGAATGTTAGAAGAAAGATTAACCAATAACTGTTAACATGCATCATGTTACACGCATCCAGCACACCATTTATTAGTGCAAAATGAATGATAAGTGCCAACAAAAGTCTATAAATCTCCTTCGTGGATATCATTAAGATAATACAAATATCCAATTTTCTTTCTAAGAAAATATATATACATAAGTATAATAAATAATAGTCTCCCTTTATACCGCTAGTGCTGCTTTGGTATTATAATAGCAGGGTAGTCTGCTATCACTTGAGCCTACGGTGCATAAATAAATATTTAACCCTATTTTTTAATGTATTATTATTCTGGTTAGAATAATAAAAACAATGCGGTTGTGATGTGGTTACGGCAGTTTTGATTTGTGGCGTTATTTGAAATTGTAAAAGTAAATTTTCTACAACTTTTCTACTTAGATTTGGTGTTTCTCTTTCTCTCGCACAACATATTTCTCTTTTGGTTCGGAAGTAGTAGTCTAAAAAGAATGTATATATAAGGTTTTGCAGCTAAAATAATATTTTTTTGTAAGTAGATAATGGTACTTAAAATAAAATAAAAGTATACAAGATAAAAATAAAACGGTTATTTTTATTTTTTCTAAAATGATTTGGCAATATTATATACATTAGTAGATTAAACAAGAGAAAGATTATATCATATGATGCAATATTTAGTGTAAAATTCTGTTTAATAGATCGTATGATTTGTTTGTAAGAGTGTCGCAGTTTAGGAATTAGTAGCTGTGATGTCAAAAATAAGAAAAACTATTTAGGTTAGAACAATCAAGCACTACTTTATCTATGCTTTTATTTGATATTTTCTAAGGCGTTTTACAAGTTTTTCTCTCTCAAGGTCGCAGGTTATATCTACAAATCCTATAAAATGTTGAAGAGTAGGAATATAGTAGAGGAGATATTGTAACAGGGTGTTTAAAATTGTTTCATACGTTTCTTAATACGATGTTCACGTGTTACTAGGCATTCAGTATATTTGTAAATAACTGTAGATAGATTATTTTTGATAAATTTTGTATTCGATTTTATAAATTGTTGAAGCGCTTCTTCTTCATTACGTTTTGTTTGCATATTTTATGAAAAGACCTAACGCAAGTCGCATAGATTTAGTGATGACCGGATCGTATTTGTTTAAATCAGTGAGTCGGAACTATTAATTGATCAAAACGGAACTGAGTACCAGTACCTACTACCTTGATCCACTGAACAGTATCAATGATTGGTGCTGT